GCTGACCTGTGATCCCTCTCCAGGCTCTGGGCATCTATTGCTGGCACTGGCATCAGACTGGTAGGAGTGGGATGGATTGAGGTTCCCCTTCCCCAGCAACTTTAGTTTAAAACCCTCTTCACCAGCTTGGCAGGCCATGACCAAAGATGCTCTTCACCTTCTCTCACAGATGGACCCCATCAGCCCCAAAAGACCAGGTTTCTCAAAGCGAGTCCCATGGTCTAAGTAGCCAAACCCCTGGCTGTGGCTACACAGACCGCATAAATTCTCTACTATACATTGGACTACCTTTATACAGTCACCATATAGAGGAAGTGAGCAGCAAGTAACTAGGTACACTTCATTTAGGGTCCTCAACTAAGTCTCCCTTTAAAGAAGCCTCTCTCTCAGCAGTTGTGCAGGTTGAACCTAGCATCTTCAGGCCAGCTAGTCTTTGTGAATGTCATGGTATAACAGTCTTCATCACTGTTGGACATGTCTTAGAAGCAGCTAATCAGTACAAAAATGAAACACTAAGTTTTACCACCTGAACTATTTACTTACCTTTTCCCACTGCAATTACTTTGGTTGAGTCCTCCAACTTGGTTAACTGCAGACCACGCTGTGAGACCTACATATGGTAAGGAGGCAGCTTCTGTGTGACTGAGACACTTTGGCTTAAAAGACACCTGAAATAAAATCAATCATATCTAAGTCACACAGCTGATCCTACAGACACTGAAATATTTAAACAAACTTTACCGAATTGCAGATTGTGTATTCCACATTTTCAACCACCTCCATAACCACCTGGAGTCTAAATCAATCCAAGCACTAAGAAATAAACAGTTACTTAGCCACTGAAGAAAAAAATGCCAGTTTTTACAATTTTGGGTTTTTTTGTGTGTCAGCCACATTTTTGAAGGTTTACCTCGTTTCCACTAGCTACCACAAACTCTGACAGAGTGCCCTGTTTCCACGGAGGAATTGCTGCCCACACCTAAAACCAAACAGAAAACAATTATCAATTTTTGTGATTTTGCACATGATTGTACCTACACAGGAAAGTTTTCTTCATTAAAGAAATCTTTTTTCCAATTTGCAGAATATCTTCACTATTGCTTATCAGAAACCAGCTTTAGCTTACTCTTTACAGAAAAAACATGACAAGACTGACTAAATGAAAGACTGCAGAGCTATGTAAATAAATTGTACCATGCTGTGTATATGACATGATCTTTAATTTTTCAAAAACCCCAAACTACTTCCATGCCAAGAAAGCCCAGATTGGAGAGGATGGGGGAGGGGTGCAGATCAGAATTTCCTATACTAAAACTGATGAAATGTGAAAGCAACTGGTGAAGGTGAAAGTAAACAATATCAGTATTTATGTGGGGACTCAAAGTGGTTCTTGGGTTATGCCAGAGTCTCTATCCTAAGTTACTCAAGAAAAAAAAAAAAAAACAAACAACTAATCCCTTCCTGTTAGAATCCTATCTTCAGTCAAAAATGAAGCAGCATCTTGAATGTGCACTTATAAATAAATAAATTCCTCTCTTGCTACTACTAAAAAACAGAAGGGACATTAATTTGCAGAAGCAAGTCTGGAAAAGACCATGTTTTTCAGAGAAAAAACGTAGGGAAGAAAGCATTCTAGAAAATTTGCTGCCAGAGAGTCCTCATTCAGAGTGCAACAACATAAAAAAAAAGAATCTTCTTAAGAGAAAAACGACAGCTGAACATCTCATGGTGTATTTTAACTATACATTTCAGAAAAAACGAGATCAATGGGATCACCTCATCTCCGGGTTTGAAATAAGACACACTCAGTCCACATTCCATAATAACACCAGAGACATCTCGACCAAGTGTTAGTGGAAATTCAGTGTCTTCGCTTTTGAGTTTCAGGGGATCCCGCTTCATATTTAATGCAGTTGCACCATATCCACCTGCAAAACATGAAATTAACCATGACATACAGTACTGAGTTTTCATTAACTGGACAATTCCAATTAGAAAGCATTGTCTGTACCTAATGTGCCTCATTTCTGTTATAACAACCATGCAAAAAATCTGCAATATTTCATACTTTTACAGATTTTATAAAAAAAGATTAAATCTCATTCTGGCTTATTTTCCCATGAAATGGCTCTCTAAAATACTAAAAAATATTTAGCATGTGATAACACTCAGAAACTCTTAAGAAGTCCGCTGGAAGGGCTCCATTTTCCAACAGCATCATGTAGCTACAAATACAAAAGGACTCTAAGCTTTCCATTTGTCTTTTCAAGTAAAGTACTGTAAAAAGCAACATGAACATCATTGTAAAACATATCAAGGCACATCTGAGTAACCTGAACTTCTATTCAGTAAGCAACAGCTAAATGCTGCAAACTCTCAGAATTACCCATCTAATAACTCTACTCAGCCTAAAAAAGTCTGCATTTAGGCATATATGCCCTTTCAAGTGTTTCGAAGTCTGCATAGGTGCCCTGTTAAGCTAGAAAGTGCTTCAATACTGAAAAGAAAGAGACACAAAAGCAGGCACCTCAAAAGCAGGATGAAAATGTAGTTTCTTCCAAATACAGATTCAAAATATTAGTTGCAGCCCAGCAGTTCAAGTGGGTTGTTCAACAGAAATCCTCAGATAGAAAATGTCCCATAATCAAACCCACAATTTTAAAAATCTATTTATTAGAGAATACAAATTACAGCTGTGTCAGTATGCTTCCTGCAGATATCTCTGCATCTGCTACTGAATCTGAATTGATATGCAAGATCACTTCTCAACATGAAACTTAAGGTCTTCTACTACTACAGCTTCCTTCTTGTGTTTCGAATCTTGAAACTTGGGGAAAAAAAGTCTGATCAAATGTGTCAAATACGAAGAGTTGGTTAGTGAAAGAGAAAGATTTCCTGGGCAAGATGACAGCAAGTACCCAGATTTCAATTCAAGAAGAAAGGGCATGACAACAAACAACATGGTCTGGATTAGGTTGCACGTGGGGACTTTGAGGTAACTTTGACCTTCAGCCCCATTCACCTCAAAGAGACAGGAAAATCCAGCACTCCTCAGGGGGAACGCTGCTCCCTGAAAGGGCTAGTCTCTTCGTCAAGCGAGCACCACCACCCAGATGGTGGGGACAGGGGAGAAGGCTGGGAAATAAACCCCACCATGGTTATGCTACTAACAAAAGGACGCTGACTTGTGAGCTGCGAGCCTGCAGAGGACAGCAATTAGTCCCTCAGATTAAAAGTTTACCCCTGCAACACACACACACACGCGCTTGTCGTCAGAAAGCTGACGGCTGTTTGGACTGCTCTTCCCCGAGAACTCGAAAAAAGCAAGTTTCAAACTGGCAGTTTTCCACAGGGCTCAGGGCAACACGGCCTTCGAGGCAGCCCTCTTGACACTGACCAACAGGTGCCTACCACGGCAGGCCGGTGACCGTGCCTGTACGATTTTGGACGCCGGGCGCCACAGGGAAGCCGCAATCCAAGCACACCCCCTGTCATCACGCCAGCCTGGCCCCGGCCGCTCGGGCCCGGCACTTACTTCTCATGCTAAGGTCGATGGGGTTCAGGCTCGCAGCGTGAACCTTAATGATGACCTCGTTCGGGAAGTGTATGATGGGGAACACCATGTCCCTGGTGAAGCGCAGCACATCGTTGCGGCCGTACCGGTCTATGACCCAGGAGGGCATGGCGGTCCGCGCCCGCGGAGAGGCGCGGAG